GTCACCATCCTGCTGGGCTTGCCCGCCAACACCTTGGTGCTGTACATCTTCTACCGCCGCGCCCGCACCCGCCTCACCCCCAACCTCATCTACATGATCAACCTCTGCATCTCGGACCTGGCCTTCGTCCTCATCCTGCCACTCAAGATCCTGGAGGTGGTTCCACCCGGCTGGTCCCCACCAAGCTTCCTCTGCCCTCTCTACAGCCTGGCCCACTTCGGCACGCTCTACGCCAGCACCTGCTTCCTGACGGCGGTCAGTGCCGGGCGCTACCTGGGCGCCGCCTTCCCCATCCGCTACCAGCTCTACAAGAAGCCCCTTTACTCCTGCCTGGTCTGCGTGGCCATCTGGACCCTGGTGGCCTTTCACGGCGTCCTGTTGCTCATCCTGGAGACTTCGCTGGGCGCCAACGCCACCCTCTTTATGGGCAACGGCACCGCCTGCTACCAGGAATTCAGTCCAGAGCAGCTGGCCCTGCTAGCTCCTGTCCGCTTGGAGCTCTCCGTGGCCCTGTTCTTCCTGCCCTTGGTGATCACGGTCTTCTGCTACGCCGGCTGCATCCATGTCCTCGTCAAGTCCCGTCTCCACGAGCAGAAGAAGCGCCGGGCGGTGCGGCTGGCCTTGGCCACGCTCTCTGTCTTTGTGCTCTGCTTCGGACCCTATAACCTGTCCCACGTGGTGGGCTACGCCCGCGGCGAGGACGTCTGGTGGCGCAGGGTGGCGCTGCTGCCCGGTGCCTGCAACGCCTTCCTGGACCCGCTCATCTTCTACTTCCTCTCCTCGGCCAAGGACCACGGCCTGGCCTGGGTGTGGCGCTCGGTGGGGCAGCGTTGCAGCTCCTTCCGGCAGAAGATGACCATGGGTCACAGGGAGGCAGGCAAGGGGCAGCCTGAGAAGGGGGCTGCATCACATGGAAGTACAGGCCCCGGGGTGGGGAGCTCCAAGTGACCATGAGACAAGGAGACACCAAACGCTGTTGGGACAGGATTCGGGGAGATTGGCAATCTTGGATGGGCTGTGGGACCCGGCTGCTCATGAACCTTAAAAATTCCCCATGGGGCTGGGAGCCTCCAATCTTGGATAGGACGCAGGACCAAGGACCGGGAAATTCATGACCATTACAGATTCCCCACGGCACCCAGAACCTTCGATCTTGGATAGGACGTAAGACAAAGGACCGGGCAATTCATGGTCTTTACAGAATTCCTATGGGACTAGTAGTCTCCGACCTTGGATGGCACGTGAGTCCAAGAACCTGGCCTATCCATGGGTCAGTACATATCCCCCTTAGGACAAGGAGGTGTCTGGTTTTGACAGGACTAGGGGGTGAGGTAGCAGTTTTCCACTGAGACATGAGTGCATGGTCATGACCTTGACCATTGGTGGTCTTGAAAGACCCCTTAGAATGGGGACATCCCTGACTGGGCTGGGATGGGGGGTGAGGAGATGCCAGGCGGGGTGTGATGGCAGGGTCCAGATTTCTTGTGCTCATTTTGTACCCCCATGGGACGGATCCTGCCTTGGGAGAATTGGATATAGAAAATGATCCAGACCCCCTCGCCCCCCTAGGGCGAAATAGACTGTACGGCTTACTCTGCTACTGGGGGAATAGACTAAACTCCGTCCTGTAGATCTGCATTGGGTGAGCCAGCCTATGAGGTGTCACTGTGCAGTTATTCCCCAGCTGCCCTGACCCAGAGGTGGCTGCATCTCAGCAGCAGGTGAGCCAGCCCCAGGTGCCCCACCCCAGAGGTGGCTGCATTTTGGCACTGAGGCCATGATTCCTACCCATTGTATATGGAAGGTGCTAGAGATATGTCCGAGGTAACTGGGAGGTCTGTGTAACTTGGACGTAGAAATATTCCAAACCACAATCAGTGGGAATCCTAAATCTCCTGTCAATGAAATCCCAGCTCCTGCAAGAATGTCCCAGGACTGATCAATGAGTTAGTAGGAACAGAGGCAATGGGGCCGGATCCCAGCTGGGGTCAATGGGCTATAGCTCCATGGGAGTCAATGGGGCCAGAGCCCCCAGCTGGGGCCAATCGGGATCACCCAGGGGTCTCACCACTCCACCCTAGCGCTGACTCTTTTGCCCACTGGCTGTAAATTGCATTCCACTAACGGATCCGTGCTGATTTAATCAATAAAGTTTTCCCAGCTCCAGTGGGGTCGTTATTATTAATATCGTTATTGTAGTTATCATTCGACTGAGACCAGGCCCCCGCTGAAATGGGTGTGCTGCACTCACAGCACAGTGCAGGGGCTGGGAGCCAGGACTCCTGGGTTCTATTCCCAGATCTGGGAGGGGAGTAGGGTCTAGTGGTTAGAGTGGGGGAGCTGGGACACCTGGGTTCTATTTCCAGCTATAAGAGGGGAGTGGGGCCTAGTGGTTAGAGCAGGGGGGCTGGGAGCCAAGGACTCCAGGGTTCTATTTCCAGCTATAAGAGGGGAGTGGGGCCTAGTGGTTAGAGCGGAGGGCCTGGGAGCCACGACTCCTGGGTCCTATTCTCAGCTGCCAGTGTGACCCTGGGCAAGTCCCTGCCTCGCTCTGTGCCTCAGGTTCCCTCTGTCTAAATGGGGAGAAGGGCCCAGCGGGAGGTGCAGCCGATGCAGCCTCTCCCTTCCTAGTTCCGATTGCCCCGTTCGGTCTCTGAGCCTGGCCCAGCTGCCCCTCGGCCTGGGTTCAGCGCTGCCCGTCCAACACGCCCTGGCAGGCGAGAATCAATGACCAGACCCCTGCCAGTCT